GTTCCGCGTTATTGTCCCCAGGAAGGCTTTCGGGATCGTTACTAAATTTGGTGCAAGACAGCTGCAAGACAGAAGTATTAAGATTGTTATCCGCGGAGCCTGGAAACGATTGAACAGCTCTCTTGATGCGGTCTGTAAACCTCACCGTGCTCTCGCTTTGCACTTTCCAAATGGACCGGCGCAACTAGGGTTGTTCGAACGTTTCATTGTCGCAAGACATGCTACCAATACACCCACGCGCTCCAGCCGTACAACGGTCATTGGCCCAAGGCAGTAGCGCAGACACGGGGAAAAGGGCACAGGGGGCACGAGCCTCTCGTCCTAGAGCCACTCGGGCCCTACGATTCAGCGGCCGATTTTTGGCCCAAAGGCCAAAAGGCCAAAAGGCTTGGTTCTATGTGGACACTGAATACGGCCCGGAGGCCGTATTCAGTGTCCACATAGAACCAAGTGCGGAAAATAGGCCAGGGTGAATTATGTTATCAGGTTAGGCACTACATATACACTAAATGCATTAATATGTGCGCAGAATACACTCGCTTCCCATACAGATCGGATAAGAAATTCAGAACGATTGAGTGATCCGGAAATCTTTATCCTGTAGCGGTGGCACCGAATCCGTTTATTGCGGGGCCGAAGCCAACGTGGTCGTATCAATTGTTTTATAATATTGAGGCACGGCTAGAATGGCGTGTTCTCGTCCACTGATCCACCAGCGGACGCCTACAACAGAACTAAGTGGGGAAACAGCGTCCAAACGAGTCCGAACATTAATCAGCCGCACCGGCTTCAACGTTTCTCGACAGCCCCAAGCCATTGCTATCAAACGCCCACTGTCCTTCGTTCCACGCACCATCTGATCTTTGAAAATGTCCCGCTCTAGTTGTAAATCTCTCTAATTTCACCTGAACGCGACGGGCGGTCGCCCGCATTGGGCAGTGCGCTAGGTGGGAATAGGCGCCGCCACCAGGTCAAAGGTTAGACACTGGGTCCCTCACCGATGCCAGAACCCTGCATTGTTGCAAGGGCCCCGACCAATACAAATCGCGGGCCCAGCTTTGTCCCTGCTTGTGAAATGGGCCGGAGAGCTCAGACCGACAGACACGGAGCCGACTGTTTGGTGTTGGTGATCTCTGGCCAAAATTGTGGAACGTTCTGTCTGACGGGTTCCCATTCGGTACAACAAATCCTCTACTGACATTTGGGATCACGGTCCTTCGGGTGAGGGTCCTTAATGCGACCTACAGCCAGCCCTCTGGGCGAGGGCCCTTAATGCGACCTACAGCCAGCCCTATGGGTGGAGGTCCTTAATGAGACCTACAGCCAGCCCTACGGGTGAGGGCCCTTAATGCGACCTACAGCTATCTCTACGGGTGAGGGTCCTTAATGCCGCCTACAGCCAGCCTTACGGGTGAGGGTCCTTAATGCCACCGACAACCAGCCCTACGGATGAGGGTCCTCAATGCCACCTACAGCCAGCCCTACAGGTGAGAGCCCTTAATGCGACCTACAGCCAGCCCTACGGGTGAGAGCCCTTAATGCGACCTACAGCCAGCCCTACGGGTGAGGGTCCTTAATGCGACCAGCAGCCAGCCCTACGGGTGAGGGTCCTTAATGCCACCTACAGCCGGCCCTACGGGTGAGGGTCCTTAATGCCACCTACAGCCGGCCCTTCGGGTGAAGGTCCTTTATGCGACCTACAGCCAGCCCTTCGGGTGAAGGTCCTTAATGCGACCTACAGCCAGCCTTTCGGGTGCTTCAACCTTCTAACTGGGTCATTGGTCTTTGGTCCCGAGGGGCCCTTCGGTCCCCCCTCGGAGCTCCTCAAACAAAGCCCGTTGCCGACTCGGAGCCACAACCCGACACATGACCCTTTGTTGGGCACTGTGGGCCCTTGGCCGGTACAGGGGCCCCAAACATTGTCTCAGGGACCCAGACCAATGCAGGTTGTGGTGCTCGGTCTTGCTCCTGTTCGGGCAATGGGCCCCCAGGGCTCAGACTGACAGGGAGCTAACTGTTCAGTGTTCGTAATCTCTGTCCGACCGGAACAACTACATTGTCTCAGAGATCCTCAAACGGTGCATGGGGACCTCTGACAGACATATCGGGTCATGATCCTATGGGCCTTGATTGTTTATGTGAGCTACAGTTAGTCCTTCGGGTCCTTGCGCCCTCCAATCGACCCCTTGATCGTCGGTTCCGCTGGGCCGCCCCGGTCCCTCTCCAGGCCGCATCGAATACTGCCCTTGGTCGGCTCGGGGCCCATAGGGCCGGGGCCCGGTTGCGAACGCAGGACCCTCTGTTAAGCACTACGGGCCCCTGCATGTACGGGGGCCCGACCAGCGTAAATCGCTGGCCCCGGCTTTGTAGGTGATGGGAAAGATGATGAGCACAGGTCGAAACATTGAGTGCCGTCAATATAATCGTTATTTAGTCGTACCATGTCGCTTAACCAGTACTTCATGGTATGTTGAAGGTCGTTGACTCCACAACAGAACTTTCAACTCATAATGTTGAAAAACTGGGAGCCTCAGGCCTTTCTTTTTACGTGAAGTGCAATTTTGATATCAGTGAAAATACGAGAGTGAAAAATGAACATAAGCGTCATGGGTTGAAATCGATGGGCTTCGCATTTCGTTTAGTCCCAAATGATAAAAAATGTAGTGCAGAGTATGAAACGATTTCGTATGAATTAACAGTCTATCAGGCCCAACACATCTGATTTGTAAAGTCGTGTGCTCGGCCAGCGGGAGGAGCATATTATAACATTCCAAAGTTATATTTATTAATCTAATTTCTCTCCGTGACGGAATATGTAAGAAATAGCAGCATTTGGCATGGTGGGCCTTCCACGCATCACCTTCGCCGGTGAGCGTGCGCCATACTTTGCATAGCTGAGAGCAATTCACTAGCAGATCTTTTGGTTAAAAAATTGTACCTAGCTTTTAAGATTACTGACCTTAAAGATTGCTGATAAGTGAGTTAGGACATCGCTGTCAGCGGAGGCAATTTCTAGGGAATCGTTCAGTGTGATGCGACGACGGAGTGTTGACGAAGACATAATCTTTGAAAAATTTAAAGCACAATTTGCTAATAGAATCGTAATTTTATCAAATTTCATTGCCTTTGCGTCACGTATGAAGGCCAGACCGAGGTCAAATCCAATCTGTTTTTAAAGGGGAGCTTCCTTAGAAATTAGATGATAGCTTAAAGGTAGGTCGTCATATTTGATTTGATTCCCCTAATGGCAGAGACCGTAACATACATCTTCTGTCGACCTCTTAGAGGTCAGAATAGGGTACTGAAGTGAAATGACTAAGATCACTGCGTGGGGTCACTTAATCATGGTATGGCTATTAACTCGATGTCGTGACAACGCTAAGCAGTGCAGCGATTTTCATGCGTGATGATGCAAAGATAACATGTATATTTACGCGGTTTCGTCCGCGAGCAGGCGAGGCTACTAGAGCCAAGGTGCGGCAAGAGCGGGTATGCGAACCCGTGGTCTGAGCTGAGTGAACGTCGTGACTGGAGGCTGCAAACAACTGGCAGGGCCAATGTAATGATATACGGATCAATTTGCTACAATTCACGGCACTTCAATGGCCATTGTTGTTCACACCAAAGCGACTCCTGCAGTGGTTAGCAGTTCACCGGCGGTGAACCCCAGTGTTAGAACTGAAAACAACACAGGATCACAGCAGTAATAACGCAAATACGCTGCGCGGTTACCCTGAGATGCGGCAGACAATGAGCCAAACACTGCATGACTGTCAGCTCCTCATCAGCTTCAATATGAAGTAAATGCAGGCAATTTTAAGCCATTAAGGTTTCCGACATTTTTGACCTAACGATTTTCTTCAGTATCGTGATAGCGAAAAGGAACCACATGCGTCTGGAGACATCAGCGTTACAGTATGTTGTTAATGCATGGATTTCGTAAACATCGTCCAATGAAGTGTTGAATGCGATCACATTATGCATATTTAAAACTGTTATGCAAGTAATGGGGACTATAATAATACAATACAATAAAATACAACAATAAAACAAAGCAACTTTTCCACAAAATTATGACGTCTCCAAATCCGGCAGACGTTGCGACACCTTTGCTGTAGGACAAGCCAGCTTTTTCGCTCGGCGCTATTTCAAACCGTTTTCAGTTCTCTGTCACCTTTCCTCACTAAAATGGCTGAAGCTGGGCTGTGTTTCCCAAGATAAGAATTCAGCACCTACTTCCACTTCACGCCCACACACGTGTAATGGCTACGCCCGAGTTGAGACCTGAGCCGAGTTAGATCCGGTCGCTACAGCCAATCAAATTCATGATACCGACAAACACATGTATTTCCGACTGATGCCACGGCCACGTCGCCGCCGGGTCGCCCGCCAGCCGTTCCGGAGCCCAGGCCCGCTCGGAAAACACGCGTCATGTCGCCGAGCACCCCAGTGCGCACGGGGCAGCCGTGGTCTTCATGAAATTTGCTAATTTAAAGGTACAAGCAAGCTCGTGATACTAAGCACTGGTGGCGGATTTCTCCCCATCGTATGCCTCATCCTATCAGACCGAGGTCTAGCGATCACTTCGGGGAAAGCGAAAGAAAACAGGGCCGTTATTGACCACGATGAAACTCATCCGACGCTTGGTCGCTAACGCCCCTCGCGCGGTGACACTGCAGGTGCACATGGTGAACATTGGGCCTCTTGCCCACCTTCTGAGTGACATTGCATTGCGAAATGTAGGCGTACTCTACGTAGTCTCTGAACAGGGAACGCTTAGCTTAGCTTCCGTTGCAAAACATACATGTTGCGCGCAAGGGATACATCCACATGAATAATTAGGCATTTAGGGAGGCGTCGTAGCAACATAAAATGTGATGGAACAGCAGTTACGATGCCGTTATTCCCAGCCAACGGCGAATATCAAGCAGCTCGTCTGAACGCCTAAGGCCCTTTAAAATCCCCCGCCGCGTGACCTGTTAACAACCCAATAAGCGTCACTACTGCTCAGCTGGCACAGGCAGTATCATCAGATAAACCGGCAGTCGAGGCAGACAGTCTCCGCCGAATCGACCCGCTTCTGCCAGCGGACTAGGACTCGTTCAGCCGTGCTGGAGTCTGAGTTCAGAGTTCTGGATTCACAGCGCAGCCGGTCGGTAGCCTGCTGTCCCCATCCAGCCCCAGCGCGGTCCGGCGGAGCAGGGCTGGGCGCCGGGCGGCCGCTGGTCCCGGAGCCACAGCCTCGGCCGCGCTCACGGGTCCGGGCCGGAGCCAGGCGGCGGCACCAGCGGCGTCGCCTCGCCGGCCGCCGGCTGCGGCGCGCCCTCGCGGCTGGCCGGGCGCCGCTCGCCGTCCTGCTGGCCGCGGCCGCGTAGCTCGACCAGCGGGGTCGCCTCGCCGTTCGGCGTGACGCGCACCTTCTGCGGCAGCGTGCGCGACAGGTACTCGCGCAGCTGATGCAGCTTGTGGCGCGGCGAGCCGGGCGGCCGGGCGGCCAGGTCGGTCAGGCTCGAGTCGACGCTCAGCCGGTCGGCGTCCTCGGCCGAGGACGGCGGCGGCGAGCGGCCTTCGCTGGGCACCGTGGCCAGGCTGCTCGGCCGCACGGGCCGCACCGAGATGGCGCGCGGCCGGCGGCGCTCCGGACTGGCCGCCGAGCCGGCGCTAGCCGCCAGCTGGGCAGCCCTGTCGACACGGCGCCGGTGCTGGGTCAGGGTCAGGGTCAGTGCCGGGTCAGGGCAGACACGGCGCCCTCCCATCACTCTGCACCGACGCTGCACAGGCCGACCGACGCGGCCGACGCGGCACATGCAGACGCACAGGCGCGCGCCACTACAGAGCGGCGGCGTAACATCTGTATCGCAGACAGCCGGCAATGCGTCCCGATGCACTTTCTAGGCCGGGGTTAGGAAAAGCTAGAAACCACCTTGTGACTCGGTCGCAGATTATCTCAAAGGGATGTCCTGCCGTCCATCGAAGCGCAGGATTGGATATCCACATGCCGCTTGTACGTGGGCGCTTACATGAAACAATTGATAATTTATACGACAAATGAAAGGCAACTATTTTAATAGACGAAGCGTGTGGGGCACCATGGAAAAGGAAACATCGCTTAGACGAATGATCGATGCCATGGGATTGAATCGTTCTGTAACAGAACGTCTCAACAGACACCATGATTAACAAACAAAACAGTGCCCTAGGGACGCGACGACGAACTTAGCCGGCTCAACGTCGTCGGCTGCGGCTTACCTGACAGACAGCACGGAGCCAGAGCGGGAGAGGGCCGAGCTGGAGCCCGCCGCTTGCTCCTCGGCACCGACCGTGACTGCCGGGGCGATGGCAGTGGCGGCCGCGGTGGACGGCGAGCCCGGCGAACGCTGCAGGTACAGCACGGCCGTCTCCTCCTCGTCGTCCGGCGCTGGGACGGACGAACGGGACTCCGGCGTCAGCGCAGAGCGGCACACGTGGGGCCGGAGGACGGTACACGTGGGGCGAGGGACGGCACACGTGGGGCCGGAGGACGGTACACGTGGGGCGAGGGACGGCACAAATCGGGCCGGAGGACGGTACACGTGGGGCGAGGGACGGCACAAATCGGGCCAGAGGACGGCACCACCACTCGCGATGCCGGCGCACCGAAGTGGTGCACTTACCGATGCACATGAGGAATCTAGCTTAAAACGTAGGTGATGTGAAGGGCTTTTGCGAGTCCAGGCATTGCCAAATACTAAGCGCTAATTTTCTGAAATGTTAACAATGCAGCTGAGCCCCGCTCTTAAAAGCTGGAATCATAAATTTGGTCTTTCACATCCTAGAATGAGTTGAACACAAATGGCATGGGATGCAGAACGGATGTATTGCAGCAGCGCCCACCAGCGTCCCAAGAAGTGCGACCAAGACAATAAATGAAAATACTGAACACGATTCAATGCTAGCGGACGGTAACCCGACGCACGTGCTGGCAGCGCCACTGACCGGTGTCGGCGGCGTCGTCGGCCGGCGCCGACTGGCCACCGCCGTCGGACTCGGCCATCACTTCCTGGTCCTCGCGCAGGTCCTCGCAGGCGTCCTCGTTCAGCGTCTGCAGCGCGCCCCAGATCATCTGCTCCTCCAGCGTCACCTGGCGGCGGCGCACGGCCCGGTGAGCCAGGTCGGCGGGACGAACAGTCAGGTCAGAGCACCGGGTCACGGGCGACAGAGTCAGGCGGGCCGTGTCGGGCAGCGCGGCAGTCGGCCAGGTGCGCCGGGCTCGCTTGATCCCGCTGCTCTGGCAGGGCGTGACCCGGTCGGGCCGACACTCGTGATGACACATGATTGAGACTGTGCAACGTGATGTGGGATATGGCATCGACATGCCAGAGGTCACACAACCGAACACGTGATCTGAGAGTAGCTGAATTCGGCTCTTAATGAATCATCAACTTGATGCATCGTCCAGTGACATTTTAGATGGTGGGTACTCCAGATGAGGCGCCAAATATCGCAAGGAGGTATAGCAGACTGCAAATAGGAAAATATCCGATACAGATCACTAGGGCGCAAAAGCTAATTGTCACAACCCTCGGCATTCATATACCTGGCGCAAAACAAACAGCATTAATCGTAAAACAACTTAATTCGTCCGCCAACAGCTGCAGATTTTGTAAGGAGTTTCAGGGAGCGCATCAAGACTTGAAGCGTTTGTCAATGCCATGGTTTCACGATGAGAAGAAAATCGCGATCTACAAGAGCATCTATCACCCGCAGCCAAAGCAGGACAACGGCAAAATCCCTCTTGCTGCGACGTGACATTCAACTCCCAACGCTCTGGCGGCAGTCCGATGAAGACTGCACCGCAACACTGGTCACCAGTCACCAGGCGGGCTATGCGCAAGTCGAAACTTTGCAGCAACTTTGCACCCTAAAAGAGAACGGCTCGTCAACTAAAATATGTGGTATACATCCAAAGTAGCCGCAGCTTTCTATGCAAACACCTCAAATCAATTGTTCACGAGCCGCACCCAACGGTCTAAAATGGTGTTATGCGTAACGGCTGTCCACACGCATTATTGCTGGTGAAATCTGTATCCATGATATGTCTACGACGCTGTCTTCTTCCTGCTGTCACAAAAACCTTGGCCGCCATATACGACATCGTCCACTGTCACATGTACACAGATGCTGCCCAGTGCTGTAACAAGTCCCAACCCGTCCGTCTCTGCATGATGTCGACAAATGCTGCCCAGTGCTGTACCAAGTTCCAACCCGTCCGCCTCTGCATGATGTCGACAAATGCTGCCCAGTGCTGTAACAGGCCCCAACCAGCCGCCTCGACATAAAGTCTGCACTTTCTTCAACTTTACGGACCGCAGAGCAAAAATCTCTGCAGCCTCACCGTCTGACGAACGTTATCACGCTATCGTGCAAAATCACAAGTGCAATTACACGGCAGGTATCGATGCTCGTGCGCAGGGGAGGGCGCAACAGGAGGCTGCTCGATACGCAACCCCGGTGGGTCAGGGCGGTCGTCCATCGTGCGTGACTGGCGTACCTGTAGCGGCACGCGGACCACCGCGTCTCAAACTATGCTCGGCAACTGAACGGTGTAGAGGTTCGACCCACCCGTCTCAACATTTGAAGACCTCGCAAATTATCCCTTCAATGCACCGCAAATGGGCTCGATTACGCTAACGTCGACTTCCTAAGACTTTCTGGATACGTCCCAGTGGGGGACACGGGCTTGAACGCTTGTTTTGAAATGACGCGCACACTGACAAACTGGGGGTAGCACTGTTCCTCCGTGACAAGGGCAACAGTAAATACGGGGAGCAGTTAAACCTTTGGCAACTGAACAAAGGTGGAAGACGAAAGACAATAAATGGCGCCGTGAGTTCTCCTCACTCTCCATCGTATCGTTGCAGCATAGCGTCATAGCATTGTTGCATTGCTTCTCCACTGTAAGCTACAGCAACGGCGAACCACTGAAACTCCAGGCTATCAGCTGGCGCTGAGGCAATCAGGATTTTGGACGCAGCACAAGCTCAGTATCATCACTATATAAATCAATAATAGGTTCAGTGAGGATATGCGCTTTCCGGACGTTCTGATATTGCACAAAAAATAATCTCGGCGACAGTTTCATGGTGACCAAGTAATCCACGACACCCTACCTGAAAAATATTCCAAGCCGGAAAGATTATACGTCCAGGAAATGTTAGGAACAAGAGAGACAATACAATCTGCCACCCTTTGATATGGCTGCCCGAGGAGCACGGCCTGTGACGTTGCACACCACATGTTCCAAGCAGCCCGAATGCTCTCGACAGGGCTGGGGGTGGCCAGCCGGCGGTGGCCTGCCCACCCGGAGTCAGAACAGAGGCGAGAACAGAACGAACAGAGACACCGGCCCTTCAGCCGCGCATGCGCCTCGGCACGGAAGAGCCGTCAAACTCCGGCCACCTGTCACAGGTGTAGTGCGTGTATTGATTCTCGCATACACCACGGAGACTAAGACCTAACCCAACACGCGCTGGACAGTTGGGAGACGCCGCCAATTCGGTGACAGCTCTAAACCAGACGGCAGGAGATGTGCGCAGTCATATGCATGTGACGTGGTGCACGGTAGACACGAGACTCGACTGGCGCGTCGAGCGAGCACACAGTGCAGCACACCGCAGATCACACCAGAGGTCGCCGGCCGATGCGTAGTAGGGACTACGGATGACATCACAGATCACCGTCCCCATGCGTAGTACGGACTACTGATGACATCACAGATTACCGTCCCCATGCGTAGTAGGGACTACTGATGACAAGATTCGAAGGACGCAATAAAGACATTGAGCTCGCACTGGACACGAGCTGAACGTGCTACGATGCAAGATGAATCGATGCAGGGCGCCGGCGAGAATAGTTTCGTTGTGGACGTACAAGTATTCGGTGATGTTACGCAAGCAGGACAGTAAACACCGTTGAGCCACGCAAACCCAACAATCTATGGTTAATTTGGTGGTTACAAGCTTATGTCCGCAACAAAACAATTAATTAATGACACAGCAAACAACGGGTATTCCAAGGTATCATTACGCGTCAATGCTACATCTATGCTTCTCACTGGTAATATCTGCTGTCGTAGCAGGACACCAATACGCATCATCGCTCGCCTGCCCTGCCAATGAGCCCGTGGTCACCCGTGCGAGCAGCCAACCAGCGCTTCGCTTCTACCGACACAGTGCGGCGGCCCTGCCGAGCACAGACCAAACACCGTCGGTAGCGGCCGGCCGGGCGGAGGTGCCCTCCGCACGCCGGCAGCATTGCACGGGCGGCACCCCACCGACAGCGAAGCGCAGGAATGCCAGGAGGTCTGAACACTCTCGGTCCACACGGACACGACTGAGAATGACAGTCGTTAGCTGTCCCAACCACGCAACAACTGGTGGTCCTATGAGTGATGGCCGGGTATTGGAGTACATGTACATCACACGCAAGAGCCACATAAGGCACATGGTGTTCGTCACGTGAGTTCCTACGATGTGCCTGATGAAGGCCCTCGCGGTCACCGGCCAACAGGCCATCATAATCACACAGCAGGCGACTTGTTACTGACCAGTACACCTGACAAAGGCGAGCAGTAAGCACGGCAGCACACGCTTCGCACAAAATATCATCAGGGGAATGGCGGCGGCACACACCGGCCACCCGCCACGTTAATATCAAGTGCGGTACTCAACAGCGGGACCTGCTCTCCTCAGCGCGTCGCGTTGATCGACAAGTCAGCGCAGCGGACACCGCTCGCGGCAGCGGTCAACAGCTGACGCAGGACTCCGGGCACCCCACCGTCCTCACAGCGGACACCGCTCGCGGCGACGGTCAACAGCTGACGCAGGACTCCGGGCACTTCACCGTCCCCGAGGCTTGGCCTGACGGCAGCGCGCTATCGCTGCCGCTGTCGGCACGCGTGCATACAGCAGGCACACCCTTCCCGCTCCCGCTCCCGCTCCCGCTCTCTCTCTCTCTCTCTCCTCTCTCTCTCTCTCTCTCTCTCTCTCTCTCTCTCTCTCTCTCTCTCTCTCTCTCTCTCTCTCTCTCTCTCTCTCTCTCTCTCTCTCTCCTCTCTCTCTCTCTCTCTCTCTCTCTCTCTCTCTCTCTCTCTCTCTCTCTCTCTCTCTCTCTCTTCTCTCTCTCTCTCTCTCTCTCTCTCTCTCTCTCTCTCTCTCTCTCTCTCTCTCTCTCTCTCTCTCTCTCGTCCACTCACGTCCCTACTCCAGCGGAGACACCGCTTCATGACTCAGAGAAGGGAAGGTCCCATGTCTTGAGGGCAGGACAGCCCCTCATTCCATCATCCGTGCGGGTGCCGACGCCGATTCGTTCGACATCACCCTTGAGCCGCACGCCCGTGCTGACGGGCCGTAACCAAGCGGCCCGTGCAACGCCTACAAACGGTCGTAGCCCTCGTTGTCGTAGGCGTAGGCGTCCTCGCTGCTCGACTCCCCGCCCGGCAGCAGCCCCGCACCCTCGCCCTGCTCCAGCCGCCCGCCGTCCGCCAGCTCCACGCGGACGCCGTCCGCCAGCTCCAGCGCCGTCGGCGCGCCACGCCGCAGGTCCAGCTTCCAGCGCCTCCGATATCTCCGGCTGATGAGCGTTCGACATCGACAGCCACGTCCGTCGAGCGGCCGCGCTCCAGGATCGGGTACAGCCGCAGCTCGTCGGGCGGTTCGGCGGCCAGCGAGCCGCGCCGGGGGCGATGCCGGTGCCGCGAGCGCTCCTCCAACAGCGCCTCCTCCTCCAGGTACTGGTTGAAGTCGAAGTCCTCGCTGTAGGAACAGTGCACCATGTCTCCGAGCGTGACGCTGCTGAAGCGGCGGACAGGCTGCGGCGTGCAGGCTGCTGGCAGAGTCGCGACGATCCTCCAGCTGGAACGGGCCACCGGGCGAAGGTCAGCCGGGTCAGCAGAGGTCAGCCGGGTTGGCAGGAGGTCACCGCGCATGGAGCTGAAGCGCGCAGTCGCACAGCACCGAGATGGAACATTCCGTGCGAGAATAACTGAATGAGTGGCAACAATAACTGAGCACTGAGTGGTAAGTGAATGCGGAGTACTCCGCAATACACTGGCTGGTGCCACCAAACCAAGCAACACGACGTAATGCCGAAGGTGCAAGAGAACGCTATCATAGCTGTTATTCTCAGGCGCCGTGCGCAGAGCCCCACGGGCATGGCAACGGCAAAGCACGCGTGATTTAGGAGAGGTATGCACTCACGCACCACACAGCAAAGCGAGGAGAAAAGGCAAACACAGTTAGCAGTCCCAGTCAGTTTGGCACCTCAACCAAATACAGCAGTGCACCTTCACCTCCTTTTCTATGTTCCCATGTGGAATTCCATCGCGACCGCGCATGTTAAGGTTCCAATGGGTTGGGGACTGCTGCGTCGGTCGAAGGCGCAGTGAGAATACTGTTGGCGCGCCACGCTCAACAAATTAATTCAAAGGTTGGTCGATGACTTCATTTTCGTCCCGACAGCCAAACGATTAACACCAGGGTTTCTTGCTATCATGCCATAAGCATTTATAAAGTTAGCAAGCCTGGACTGCCACTGGCAGGAGTGTACGCCTCCAGTATGCCAGCTGCGCCTCCGCGGGGTGCCGCCGCGCCAGCCCCAGTCACACCGACGTCGCACTCACCTGGCCGCCGCTCTCCGTTGCTCCCTCAGGTCCGGGTTAGTTCCGCTGCCCGGCATGGATTCGTTCGCAGGGCATCAGTCGGTTAGCCGCCACCAAACCCGCCACGTCGGCAACCGAGACCCCATCAGCCGCCCGCAAACCGGCTAAGACCGCGACCGCAGTCGCGACACTATTCCATCCTCCACCAACGCGTACAGGTCAGCACGGCCCGGTGCCGAACGGTGGCGCCATCACCCGGCGGCATGCAGTACGAAAGGTTGCAGCGGGACTCGCCGCAGCCAGCGGCGCCAGCGGCCACGCGTCCGCTTGATCCGGACAGCTAGACAGCCTTGGCCCGGACTGTAGGTGTCTGGAGGAGCAGCACAGCTCAGCGCGGCTCCGCCCAGTGACAAGCAACGGGGCCATCCGTATCGCTGAGATAAACAAAAATTACGGGAGACTATCCAGATTATGAAGTGATCAACAACTGAACAATATCTATGGTATTGAACTGAAACCGTTCGTCATCAGCGACCGGGCTCTGTGGGATGTTTTGCTACTCGCGTCTCCTGTACAGTAAGCGATACCTTGTTAAAGGATCAGTCAATCTATGCTTTGCATTCAGCTGAATTCCTCCCAACCGAAAATGATCGGCAGAGTGCCGCAGTAGTGGCCACGGCCGCCCTGAGCTCTTCAAACTCACTATCTGGTTGGTAGCCGGGTAGCGGGCTGATATTTAACCAAGTCCCGGTTCGGTCAGCGCCAATATCAAGTACTTGACTGCTGACCTTTGACGTGATTCATGTTTGTTTCGTTACCTATATATCAGACAATAACTTATATATGCTGAAGGAAGTCAAGCATTACCTCGGACTCGGCCACCTGGCACCTGCCAAGAAAAACCCGGCTCCGGCCACAAGTTATGTATTTGACTGCTGTCAATCACGACTGCTTATTCCTTTGAAGAAAATCAAGCGCATACGTAGATCACATCGAAGCCAAATGACATCCATGACAAGAAAGCATATCAGGCTTTCATGCTACTTGAAAACCCGCAACACGGACTAAATGACAACCTAAATGCGAGCATTTCGAGCCCCCCAACATAGGATCTAAGCAGGCACTTCGATTTACACGAAAGACTTTCGGGTGGTCCACACACCACAGCCTTCCACTCTCGCCGCGTCAAAGCCTGCTGTCGCTGCAGGGCGAATGATCCAAGTGTATCGTCAAACGCAATATACATCCAGCACCTGGGCATCCGTCTCCATGTGAGTAGAAGCCATGCAAGCAACTCGATTATGGGGCTTAAACAGAGGAAGACGTGAATCGCTGCCCATGAATGAATACGATGCGCGGAGCTCATCATTCGGATGGAGGAGAGAGGGGGGAGGGGGGAGTGGACGAGAGAAACCCAACCACAGTTATCCCTGACCGGCGTCACGCCAAGCTAGGCTCCGAGCAACAGGATCAGAGCGTAAGCCATGGTGCACTTCTAAGAGGGCGGTTTGAAACACGCGATACGTGAAGTTGAAGAGGTGACAAGAGGGAGCTACAGGAAGGCAGGACAGGAAAGGGCACAGAAAAACTTCGGTCACATCGGAGCTGGCTCCCGGAGCGGCTTTTCGGGCGTGGGTCTGGCGTGAGTGGGACGTGGGTCCGGCGGGAGTGGGACGTGTTTCCGACGGGAGTGGGACGTGTTTCCGACGGGAGTGGGACGTGGGTCTGGCGCGAGTGGGACGTGGGTCCGGCGGGAGTCGGACGTGGGTCCGGCGGGAGTCGGACATGGGCATGACATGAATGGGACATGGGTCTTACTTGACTGAAATTTGCGTGAAACGCAGCGCCGGCACGAATTCGACTAGATCTGATGAGCTTCAGACACTGGTGAGCGGCGAGTGTGTCATGGACAGGACAGAGCTGTCTGACGAGGTGTGGCGCGGTCCCCCAGGGCTCCCACCGGCGGGTGTCCCGGGCCGCGGGAGTCAGCGGGCCCGGCCGGGCCTCACCTGCTTCTCCAGGTGATTCTCGTTGAGCCGGCGTCTGGTGGCGCCGCCGCTGCTGCTCGGCGCCGGAGCCGGCGACGGACGACTCTCGGGCGGCACAGGACCTGTCGGCACCACCACATGGCTGCACACGGCCCGGCGCCTCCCACGGCAGCGCTCGTGCTGCTACACCAACCGCACCCAGCTAACCGACTCATAAATCGCGTCCAATACCAATTTTGGGTGATATGGCTTTAGGGGGTTCTGCGTAGTTGGCTTGCCCTCATCTTCCCCTCTGCCGAATCGATTTAAACTCAGCTGTCTCATCTTTATCAATGGGTCACATGTTTCAAGCAGACCCAGAAAACATCAACTTCCGATCCCATTTATATTTTTATCGGCGGGATAATTAGTTCGTTATCTAAGGCTACTACAATTCGTTTGTGTCGACCGTTACAAGGCGCGCCGACCAGACACGTGAATTCTAACCTCACCTGCACACCAAATTAATACGCGCTCGGGTGGGGGTCAAATTGGCCCTCGCAAAGGTTTTTTCCGCAACGGTTTCCGAACAGCGCGGCGTAGCCGCGCCCAAATTTTGCATAGCTGTAGACAATTAAATAGCGCATTGTTTGAGATAAAAATTTAGATTTGCCTTGTAAGGTCGCTGACCTGTGGCAGGTCAAAGTCCGGCCACGGTTTCAGCGAAGTCATTTTCTAGGGAATTGTTCAATCTGATGCAACAACGGAGTGTTAGACGAAGCCATACGCCTCTGAGATACTTTGTTAGGCAAACAATATTAAATAAACACTTTACGTTGACCTTTGGTCAGGTATGAAGGTCAGGCCAAGGTCAAAACCAGCTTGTCTTCTTACTCTACGGCCTGCTGCATGGGATAGTTTCTGGTGTTCATTTCAAATTTATTGATAGCAGGAACCGCATTATACATTTTTCATGAGCTTCTTAGAGGTCAGAATAGGTCATTGACCTAAATAACCCAGGTCAACATTTTGTTTTTAGAAGCATACTGCCTCGCGTAACCTTTGTCGCTTATTCAACTGCAAAACTCAGCAGTCTTGCATGATGTTGGTCACCATGACCCTCCAAAAGTCAAACAAGGTCACTGACTTAAATGAGCATGTGACCTTTTGCTTAGAAATAGTTACCTAGGTTATGGGGCACTTTGGAGACCAGCATGGAACTTGACCTTATTTGACCCGGAGGCCATGATCTAGGAACCTCAAACGTTGACCTAAGTGAGTTCACGCCCTGCAACAACACGCCCCGCAAATTTGATGTCTCTAGCTTTCTGAGTTCCCGAGATCTCAGGGGGGTCAAATTGACCCCATCCGAACGGCGAAGGGTATCTAGCCGGCCACCCGGGCGTGTGTTAAGGCTTTGACCCAAAACCCCACCCCATACCATGTCCAACCGCGCACTTGCATCCGAAATCGCTAAAACAAACTGAAATCGCCAACACGCCCTCAAGTTCCGAATAATAAAGCCAATACGGTCAAAAATGATTTTTGCTTGCTATTACCGTGCTTCCTCGCAGATGCCAAGCGAAACTAAATTCAAATGTGTACACACACTACACACAGTTCCAGTAACACTGCTGTGCTTTCGTATGACTGTGTCGGAGCTATGTGCCCCGTTACATCCATTCTCTGTTGTTTTCAGCGTCGATTGGTCGTCTCTTAAATTGATTGGCTAGCATTGATATAAGCTGAGAAAATAACGGCACCTACGGTAATTAGCATTTACATTTGAGGGCACTTCTCCGTGACTGCAATCAGAACATGTCACCCCAGTTCCGACTCCACCTGACTCCAGTGTGTCAGGTAAATCGGAATAGACCTCGACCGCGCCCGGTGTCAGACTTACGTCTGGCTGTCAGCAGCCCAGCATCACGGGACTCAACTTGCCAGCTGTGTGAGCTGCCGCTCCGAGCAGCGACCCAACAGGTCCGCCCTCGGCTGAGCGGCACTCACTGGTAGCCGCTCCGGACAGCGAGCCAACAGGTCCGCCCTCGACCGAGCGGCACTCACTGGTAGCCGCGCTGACGGTGCTGCTGCTGACGGCTTGCCCCACTTGGCCCGCGTCCGTGGTGACCTGGAAGCGAATCTTGCGCGCCTCGGCTGCCTCGGCGCTGCCGGCGGCCGCTGACGCCTCGCGCTGCCGCAGCGTCTCGACAGCGGCCCGGAACGTCTCCCAGTCACCAAACGTCATCTTCATAGTCTGGCGGCGGCGGCGGCGGCGGCGGTCAGCGGCCGGCGGGGCAAGTGGCCGCGCGCACCGGCTGCAGTGGGTGGGGTCAGGCCCGAGCGCAGAGCGAGCACACGTGATGACTTTTTAATCACATATGGAGTAGTTCTGTCGCCCGTGCTGAGGAAGATAACTTTACAGAAACCTAAGCATGACGCCAGACACAACACCGCCAGCGGTGTAAGGTTATTTTGCCTCATGGAAGGGGATTAAAAAGTCGCGTTTAAAAGAACGCTACACTAGCGAGCGTGGCGAACAAGATATCGAAGCAAAGCCGGGTGGTTATCAACATTATAGACACTCACGTTTAATTGGATTACACTAGCCCAACGCAGAATATGGTCCACATATGAGCTCATACGTTTAATATTCACACGCTATAACTTACGCAAAGAAACAGTTCATAATAATTCTAGAATGTCTAACTAGAATGTTGCATCACATTCATACACTTATCGATCTTAGCAAGGGATCCAATTAGCATTGATGATCGGCGGCACCTTTTTCAGCGCGACCGTGTCGCACGCGCATAGCACCCATCCGCTGATGTTATTGTGCTGCAGTGTGCGGTGGTATTTGGCGGCGGCCTCCGAACTGATGCCTGCCAGTCCTGACACCAGATGGCAGACCTCGTCTACTGACATGGTGCTCAGAAGGCGATCGTTACAAATGGCCTGGGGACAATAACATGGCAATACGGTGACCTGCACTCCGTCTTTAAATCCATGTGTTTTATTCAGTTTGCAGTCGTTTGTGGTTTCACGAACACATGACATAAATTACTGTCGAATATTGTGAAACGTACGTCGTGGGATCCAGAGTTATAGATTCTAACACCTGAAGACAGCCCCTAAAACTGGGCCGTCGTTGAACCTCATAAGTAGCCCAGTAAAAACTCAGAACATTCACACCCACAAAAATCTATACATGTGAGTCTCAGGCAGCGCTACTTTCCAATAAACAGCTCCGCAGGCATCTAAAAGAAGTACTCAGGCAAGACAAGCAACTTAAAAAGAACATCATGTCGGCGAATATTTGCACACATAAATACTTTTTAGTGGTATGAAAAAGACTGGGAGAGCTCGCGCTGCCGCCGCCGTCTGGGCTGCGCGCTCCGGCGGTCGCCATGGGCGCTGGCTGGCGTACCGGCAGCTGGATGCGCGGCAGTGCGGCGGCCGGTGCCAAGGGTGAGGCCGGCGCCGGCGGCGGCCAGCTCTGGACAGGCGGGAAGGGCCAGGGCCACGGCGTCCCCAGCTCGGGAGCCGGCGGCGGCGGCGGCGGCGGGGCGCCCGGACCGCGCGGCACAGCCTGCAACAGCCAGTCTCGGTGTCAGTCAGTGTCGGTGGTTCCGGCTTACAGTCAGCGTCAGTGATCCCGCCACACAATCAGGGCCAGTGGTCCCGGCACACAGTCAGTATCAGTGGTTCCGGCACACAATCAGTACCAGTGGTTCCGGCACACAATCAGCGTCAGTGGTCCCAGCACACAGTGTTGGTGGTCCCTGCACACAATTGGTGTCAGTAGTCCCAGCACACGGTCAGCGTCAGTAGTCCCGACACACAATCAGTATCAGTGGTTACGGCAAACAGTCAGTATCAGTGGCCCCGGCACACATTCAACGTCAGTGGTCCTGACACACATTCAGCGTCAGTGGTCTCGGCACATCAGGGATCTGGGTCACGTGGGCACAGTTTAAAGCGTCGAGTTTTGACAATATAGCGGATGATTGCTTGAGGGCGTCGTTTAGCCAGTAACCCCTGGCGTGTCAAATATCGGTTATTTCCAGCTTAAGGGTCCCAAACTGGCAAAACACTAAGGCGTCAGCCCGATTAAAACGAAGACTTCTGGGTATGGGCCGCGGGCGGACACCCTGTCTTCTGAGCTAACCCGGTCCCTTCAGGGCGTCAATACAGTCGGTTGACATGTCCTAAATATACATAGCCATTCCCAATATCCACCTTAATGCACGAGTAATCACATGCTTGGGAGCCGAGGCAATGGTGAAACATGCATGAAAGAGGGCGGTTTGTGTCACCCGAATGCACGCCATTAAGTATGCATGGTTAGATGCTTCAATCATTCAGACAAGAACTTACAACAATTATTGGTTGCCACGCTCCTGGTTTGTAATGCTGGGGCTCACGAGTAACTACATGCCATTACACGTAGAATTCGTGCGATTCGTAATAACGCACGGCCACAGCAATCAACTAAACAGACCTTAAGTGTGCATGCCGCAGAGTGTTAAATTCTATATGAAAATTACTGCACTGTAATATAACGAACTGCATCAGGCGGAACATAAGTCAAAGAAAGCGACGTGCATGCGCGAATAGACTATCAAATATTTACGTCAAAACTCAGCAGGTTTACACAAGCTGAAAAGGACGTTGTTTAAGAAGCAGACTATAATATAGATAAAACACGCATATATCATGCACAAACAACACAAGAACATAACCAAAAAGCTCTGCAAAAGTACAACACACACGGCCACAGGCGCACGCGCAGCGTCGCCGGAGGGCATTGGGCGGGCGTGAGTAGCCTCAGTGCGGCGCTGAGGCCGGCCCGCGCCGGCGCGCGGACTGACCCAGTGATAGTGCGGCGGCCAGGGGGGCGCCGGCTGCGGCGCAGCCACCGCCGGCTGAAAGCACGGCACGGGCGTCCGGCACAGTCACTAGCGGTGACGGTCAGAGCGCCGCTCCACTGGTGCAGCTCCGACATGACACAGTCGCTACACACCACAGGGCGGGATCTCCTGGAGCCGGTCCTACCGCTGGACCAGCACGCAGTGACGCTGCACTGGATCACAACGTCGGGAAGCAAGCCCGCTTTGGAGCTGCTACAGCCGCTGCTGATGAGACTGTCTGCTTCTCGTCCCCCAAATGTACATGCTACATGTTTGGGAACTCCCGTTTCACCTTTTATGAGAACTTAGCCGCTGAACGGGAAGTGGCAGCGAGCCAGCGTCGGGATGCATCAAACAATACTCAACACAACCCACGTGACACGCCTCCGTGATAGCAAGCCGAGTGGGGTAAAGTAACGTCACGTGACAACAATCATACATATATACTGCAAGATGATTTACCTATCGGCACGCAGAAGAGAAATAAACATATATCCCGGAGCCCCTTCCTAACTTTCTGAAGAATAACAAACATTATTTTGACGTAACATTACGCGAAGCAGCGTATCACCAGAACTTCCGTCTCACGGAGAGATCGGCTGTATGGAGTCTCAATGCTTCTCACAGCGCACGGCGCCAAACCGGTGAGCGCACCACAGCCTGCAACACATCACTGAGAACAAAGCTCGCATGTGCGTGGCGCGCCACCAACACCCCCGAACCCGGCAGCATCCCGCGTCATAACTGCCGTCAAGCCGCCGACAGCCGGCGGCGGTCCAGCGAGGGGGGTGGGGCGTGACTCGCCTACCTGGACGGCCAGTTGTGCGGCAGCGGCGGCAGGGAGGCCCCGAGCGCCGGGCAGCGGCAGCGTCTGCGCCGACGCGGCCGGGACGCCCAGCTGGCCGTCCAGCGGATCGAAGTGCTCCTCTGCGGGGCGGACGGGCGCGGCCGGCTGTCAGTCTCAGGCAGCTGCCGTGGTCGACACGGCGACACGCTGCTGTCGGACACAGACACCGTGCGGGACGCGGAGTGGTAAATATGCTCAGATATCGGGATGAGGCGCTAAGTGGTGAATGTTTGGTCACGCGGATGGTGTCACGCGGTCTGCTGACATGTCAGGAGGTCCGGCTCCAGGCCTTCGTACACGCAGTCAACACACAGTCCGTGGCCACCCGCTGATCATACAGAGGCCTGCATCAGACTAACGAGCGCCAGCCGGCAGCTGCGCCAGGCATCATCTGCGTAAGACGCCTGCTGCGCCAGGCGCCAGCTGCTCCAGACACCTGGTGTGCCAGCCGCTAACTGCGCCAGCCACCAGCTGCTCCAGCCGCTAGCTGCGCCAGCCACCAGCTGCGCCAGACGCCGGCTGCGCCAGTCGCCGGCTGCGCCAGCCGCTAGCTGCGCCAGACGTGAGCTGCGCCAGTCGCCGGCTGCGCTCTGCCGCGACCACTCACCCTTCACCACCTTCTTAATGAAGGGGTCCAGGTTGATGGTGAACGGCAGGAAGACCTTGAGGTCGGCCAGCGTCAGCGTGTGCTTGTGGAAGGAGAGGAACACGTCCAGTTTCTTCTCGTCCCGGTCGTACTCGGAGAGCGGGTCGGCCTCGCGCGTGGACGGGATGTGGCCGCGGATCCTGTCCGCGCACACCCCCTGTCACCTATCCGTGTCGGCGACGGGGCAAAACACGCCACGCGCAGGCGCACAGGTTTGCTTGCTGCAGCACCAGGCTTATCTACACAAAAGACGCAGCTGAATTCTCAAACACGGCTGGGAATGAATACTGCACGCATACCAACAGCCACTTAACGTCACGCGCTCCTTCTCCGCAATGAACAGATATCGCGCACAGGAGCCCAACGACCCATTGTAGGTGCTAGCCGATTCCGCGCAGCTTTTATGAAATAAAATGCAAATTCATGTTGCAATGGACTGCAAACCCGTGATTTTGTCCTTTACACCAGCTAGGTAGTGACGGGCGGTGCGTACTTGGTGTAGAGTTCATACAGGGACATTCTGTCCTCCAGCTTGGACTCGTTGTACTCGAAATAGAGGATCATCCAGGTGGTGCGGTAGGGCCACTGTTCCGTGATGTTGATCCACGATGCCAAGTGGTACCAGTTGAAGTCGATGTGGAACGCCTTAACCAGGCGACCTGGGATGGGTGGACAGTACTGTGATGCGACGGAAAGGTCGGCAACGGTAACCGGCCTCCCTCCACAGTTGCGCCAACCTTGTGCACCGCAGCCGGCATACACATAACAACAAGGAAATGAACAGCCAAAAGCAGCATGATTAGTTGTTTGCTATCCACGTAATTTGTCACTTTCCCAGGCTGATATGGGAAACCCAACACGTAATACCCCTTGCTTCCAGACCTGTGCCCTAATGGTGTCTCTTAATGGTGTTAAGTGGCTTTTAACGGTAATGGTCTTAAGCTGTCAACTTAATGGTGGCTCAGAAATCCGATGACCAGCACTATGACACATTATGGGCAAGCATGCGAGCCAGCATTACGACACGTGAGGCTGTTTATCGGCGCGGTGGCTGCTCATCGACCGCCACGAGGCCACGCTGGCCGCCGCCGTGGACGCTGTTGACCTGCATGACGCCTGTGCCCGCGTCCACTGACCGCTGATGTAGATGACGTTCATCAGACGGCGCATGCTCCGCGGGTTGACGTCGGAGAAATAGTCGTCGGTGAGGAGGACGCGGTTCAGGTCCGAGGTGCCCGTCACCAGCGACGAGCCGATCCTGGCGGCGAGAGGCCCGAGTCAGCACGGACCGGCAGCTGCCGCCCGACAACGGCGGCTAGCGTCAGCGGCGCCGGCAGCTGCCGCCCGACAACGGCAGCTAGCGTCAACACAGGCCGTGGCGGTCACAGGCGCGGCCGGACACCGACGTCACTTGACACACCTCGACAGAGCTGCTCAGAGCCGGTCGGGCAGGAGCCTGACCTGCGGCCCGACAGAGCTGCTCAGAGCCGGCCGGACGTGACCTGTCGGGCCGGGCAGGAACCTGACCTGCGGCCCGACAGAGCTGCTCACATGCTCAGAGCCGGCCGGGCGTGACCTGCCGGGCCGGGCAGGAGCCTGACCTGCGCATGCTCTGCTCCTTGTCGACGAAGAGGCTGAACCGGCGGCCCGAGCCAAGCCGGCCGACAACCGGCGCCACCAGCTCGGCCGACGGCGCGCCGCTCACATGCAGCCCCGCCTCGGCCGCCGCCGGCGTCAGGCTGAGGAGGGGATAGCGGCGGAGAGGACAGGGACAGGCTCAGTGAGGATCACTGCCACAGGCAGGGGCAGCGGCGGAGAGGACGGAGCTGAGAGACAGTGTCGTAAGCATGGACTGGGAGACGTGACACAGCTTGGGCGCTATGACAGATGTCCGGCCACCTTAGAATTTACTCAAGAGAGGATAATGGATAAAACCAGGACCATACAAATCGTAGGAAACCCCTCTTGACTTCAGTCATTCTGAACATCTCCGCCCAACAGGTACTGTGAGGCTTGTTTAAGCTCTAGTTGGCCCAGACCAGGAGAGGACGCAGCACAGCCTGCCCTGAGCCAGAGGAGGGCGCTCGGGCCGCCGCCTGGGCCACGCACCTGTTGAGGTTGGAGGCGACGCTGCTGGCCACACTCTCGGTGCCTTTCAGCCGCGACAGCGCCGACTTCTTGGGCAGCCGCAGACGAGACTTGGTCGCCACCCCGGCCGTCACCGACTCCACCGACATACGCCGCCCGCCGCCCGACATCTGGCGGCAGACGACCGCATTAACGGTTCTGCCACCAGTCAAAGGTGGACAAAGGTGCAGCATTGTTAACATCAGACATGGGTAGACCCGAAAATATTGTGCAATCCTCATTTCAGCACCTTAATGCTGCCGTCACTATCATCCAGCGATGGTCTGCCATGCTTACTGTCGTACGCAAACCTCCTGATGGCAGAAGATCACAGCAACGCCATACCAAGACCACACGTGTCACCAGCTGAGTCCAAAACTCAACCACGCGCGCGTTCGTAATACCAGTGCACCGCAATACATGACATGCACCTGGGCGCAGGTGGAAGCTGCTCGTATTTTATGCCAAAGCGCTTCCGAATCATTAGCCTGAAGAGCGAATTACCACATGCTGCAACAGAGTCGAAAGCTTACCGAAGGTTGCTGAACAAGCGGGTCATTTTCGGCATCCACCCACGTGTCGCGCCTGAAAGACAGGTGTCATTGAGAGGCCTTGGACGTGTGCAGCGCGGCGACAAACACAGTCATAAGACGCATTCATATTGTTCACGTGCGCCGGGTCAAAAGCGAGCGACCTCGAACGGCGGCCTGCATCAGCCGATCAACCTCCCGGAGGTACCTCTCGCGAGAAGCGGCCACCTTCTGGGCCAGGTTGACCTTCCTCAACGCCGAGTTCTGCAGGAAGAACGGCAGGTGGATCAGGTTCTTGAGGTAGTCGTTGCCGCTGATGGCTGTCTGCGAGAACACCTTGTTGATGTTCAGCTCCACCGCCTGCGAACGAGCAACGTGAGTGGGTAAAACATCCGACTATCGCGTTACGATGCGATTTAAGACGCATTGGAAGGCTCGCATGGCATGCCGATCCAGGCATCAAAACAGGGTCGCTCAGCACGGCAACACAATGTTTCCCTACCAAAATGCGACCAACCAGAACAACAACAACAACAGAACAACAACAGAAGATACAAATGGGGACAGGTGATGGTGAACGTTATTGGACTTAAGCCACCTTCTAATGCTTAATGAAGGCACTGATATCACTATGCAAGTGTTACTGACGCCAAATAAAATAGCACAGGACAGGTCCTGGGTACTCGCGACGGTTTTGATTCAGGAGGAAGAGAACGGCACCAGAAAGCAAGCCTCGCCCTGTGCCACAGCGTTCAGTCCGACAGCACGGGCCCGGCGCCGCCGCCGGCCGCCGGGCGGAGCCGGCCCCCTTCTCTCTGACCTTGGAGATGATGTGCGGGTCGATCGAGAGCAGGATGACGAACGGCGCCTCGGGCACGGTGAAGAGCGTGCTGACCATGTCCAGGATCTCGAGCACCTTCTCCTGCTCGCAGCTGTCCAGGCCGTCCACCACCACCACCAGGCGGGTCTGCTCGTCGGCCAGGCTGTCCATGCAGCGCACCTGAGCCCGCAAGATGACACGGGTCAGCGGGGACGGACGCCGCCGGACAGCGGAGGGTGACACGGATCGACGCCAGACACGCGGCGAGCGACACGGATCACCACCGGACACGCGGCGGGTGACATGGATCACCGCCCGACACGCGGCAGGTGACACGGATCACCGCCGAACACGCGGCGGGTGACACAGATCACCGCCGGACACGTGGCGGGTGACACGGATCACCGCCGGACACGCGGCGGGTGACACGGATCACCGCCGGACACGCGGCGGGTGGCACGGATCACCGCCCGACACGCGGCGGGTGACACGGACCGACGCCGAACACGTGGTGAGTGACCCGGATCGCCGTCGGACACGCGGCGAGTGACACGGATCGCCGTCGGACACGCGGACAGAGAGGGGCAGCGCCAGAATGTCGGAACGCTGCTGATGACGGGCGTGGCTGCTGCTGCGATGTTCACTCGACATGCTGTAATGCGCTCTACTAAAACTCGGCGGCAGAGTGGGCCGCAGTGTACCAGCTACCTGGTGCCAGGTTCATGCTAGGAAGCATTATACTCCTACAATGTATATTTAAGTGGATGCCTCAGCTGGCAGCGCTGCAGTCCTACGACCAGCTAAGCTATGAGTTATGAACTTCACGAGTCTGTGCCGCATCTGACGTCACAGGAGTATGCGAAGCAGGAGCCGCATACGGCAGGCGACGCCCCGCCCTAGGCGGCGGCGGCGGCGGCGGCGGCGGTTGCGGCCGGTAGCCGGCGGCGGAGACCCACCATGTTGATGAGCAGCTGGACCTCGTCTTTCAGGGCCTGCACGTAGCGGTCCTTCTCGCCACCACCGGAGCGGGCCAGCTTCTGCAGGTACCTGCGCGCAGGCACCGTCTGGTAACACGCGTCCGGCGCAGTGCCATGCCCGCCGGCCCATACAACTGGCGTTGATCCCTGGGCTCAGAGCCGGCATCAAGGCCAAAGGGGGCCCGCAATCTAGAAACGTGCATTCCTGACAATGAATCTGACTTTGCACATTTAAAAAGAAAATTACAAGTAAACTTCGGCGTTCACGCAGGGGCGCAAAAGGCAGACAAGGGCTTTTCGGGCATCGGACATCGGGTATACAGCGCATAAAAAACAGACAAGACTGACCAGTCAAGGCTTATCATACAAATCTGATCCTTCAAAGTTCTCTTATCAGAGAAGCAATCGCTTTAGCCTACTTTCAGCGTAATCTACTTCTGCAGTCTCTTTGAACGCTTGTCGGCCGGTGAAAGTCGACCCGAACCAGTGGCAACGACACTTTCCGCCGGAAAAAACACATTGCGCACTAAAGCAGGACAGAGCACAGCAGACACTTGCGACGCGCGCGAGCGCGGAAAACACCGATGTCTTACAGGCGGTGAGGTACGACAAGCGCGTAGAGGACTTTGCCGATGGTGAGGATGTTGGTGACCAAGACGATGCCGAGGGTAACTGACAGCACGATGAGGAGCGTCTCGATCGTCTGGTACGTGATGCTGTCGACATCCACGGGAGGCGGCATCACCGTCCTGCGGGGCGTAGCGCGCGTCAGAGGCGAGCAGATGTGACAATAGCGTGTGTGTGGGGGGGGAGGGGGGGGGGCATCACCGTCCTGCGGGACGTAGCGCACGTCAGAGGCGAGCAGATGTGACAATGTGTGTGTGTGTGGGGGGGGGGGGCATCACCGTCCTGCGGGGCGTAGCGCGCGTCAGAGGCGAACAGATGTGACAATGACGTGTGGGGGGGGGGGGGGGGGGAGGCAAGTGAAAAAAGGGAAAACGAGAGAAGGGAAAGAGCAGCTGAGGGGAAGAGAGCTTGAGAGGAGAGGTGGGTTGATATACATAGAGAAGAAAGTAGGAAGTGTAGGAGAAAACAGGCAACTAGACAGAAAGCCGACAATGAGAAAAAAGCAGACATGAAGAGCAACAGACGGGCGGACAAAAAAGGAGACAGGTTTAAAAGAGGTAGAAAAGACTGATAGGAAAACGTACATCAGCCAGCGGGAGCCAATGTCTACCTTCGTCAAAACAATGCAATGGAGATTTAAATCATAAATGGTTTGACAACCTTTGCACGGCGACAATCATAACTTCGCTACCTCAGCTACCTATCCGGACCCAGCGCCCCGGAAGTCCTCACATCAGACCCGGCAGGTCGACAGGCGCACAGCTCGAGCGCGGGGGGGGGGCGAACTGGCCTCCGTCAAGATCAACAACGCTGCAATGTCTTCCCCAACCCAGAGAGTTGCGGCCGCACCGAGAGCCCCGGGCCGGCGGCACGCGCCGTCGCTCCGCCGCGTCCGGTGGTTTCCTCACGTTCCGTTGCCGGCGAGTAGCTGGGCGGCCACCATGGCCTTGAAGGGCTCCCAGGTGAGGTAGTGGACGGTGAGCACCAGCGTGGCCATGGCCACGTACACCGTCCACAGGAAGATGAAGGCGTACGGCACCAGACACAGGTGGCGGAACTTGGACTCGCTCTCCGGCGACACTGCCCGAACAGAGAAACGTCACACGTTCTACGTCCCCATGAAGGGTCTGAGGTCATGCGGCGGAACATCGCGTGTGTCAGCTTTGTTCTCCGGCGCGGCTCAGGACACGGGGATCGTCACAGTCGCACAACCAAGTGCACACTGAGTTATGTATCGGAATAAGGCAATCAAGCACGTCCTGATCCTCGCTCTCCAAACGCGCTGTCCCGGAAAATGTAGCGCAGCCACGGGTAGAAAATATTCCCATATTGCATGGTGGAGCAGCGCACCACCGCACAGCCGCCGCGGGGCCATGGCGCAGCCGGCAGGAGCCACCGCACAGCCGCCGCGGGGCCATGGCGCCGCCGGCAGGAGCATCACTGGCACACGTCTAGACAACTCTAGCTCCTAGCCTATAGCGCACATACGGCCAACAGCCACATGTAACAAGCAAATCCTGACACTACCCATGCCCGGTATCATCAAACCAGTGACTTCAGACAGTCGTTGGTTTGAGTCGCCCCACTCCGACACCAATCACTACCAATCAGCTGCGTTCACCGATGCCTTTCTACATCGGGCAAGCAAAGCCAAAGCCGTCCTCCAAACCTCACACGACGTGTTTCTCTGCACCTCCGCATCCCCCTGGCCCGTCGCAAACCAACCTGGCTGCGGCCGGAAGGCGCGGAAGAGACGGCAGGCGAGGAGGCCGCAGTGCTGCTCTATGTCCTCGTACAGGGTGCTGATCATCTGCACGATGCTGTTGTCGCCGCGGCCAGCTGACGTCACGCTCGCCCGCTGCGCGAAGAAGAACCTGCGCAGGAGACGGTCAGGGAGACGGTCAGGGAGACGGTCAGGGAGACGGTCAGGGAGACGGTCAGGGGAGACAGTAAGGGGAGACGGTAAGGGGAGACGGTCAGGGAGACGGCCAAGGGAGACGGTCAGGGAGCCGGTCTGGGAGACGGTCAGGGAGACGGTCAGGGAGACGGTCAGGGGAGACGGTAAGGGGAGACGGTCAGGGAGACGGTCAGGGAGACGGCCAAGGGAGACGGTCAGGGAGACGGTCAGGGAGACGGTCAGGGAGACGGTCAGGGAGACGGCCAAGAGAGACGGTCAGGGAGACGGTCAGGAGAGGCTGTTGGGGAGTCGGTCAGGGGGGACGATCAAGAGAGACAGTCAGGTAAGCACGTTTAAGAGGACGGTCAGGTGAGTAGGCCGGGAGGGTCAGTTAAGTGAGAAGCCCAGAGGGTGGGTCAGGGGAGACGGTCAGGGGAGATGGTCAGAGGAGAGGATCATGGCAGACAGCGGAAATGACCAGGGGAGCCAGTAAAAAAAAAAACCCAGCAGACAATCAGTCAGAGGAGATTATCCCAGACGTTCGTTATAGGACATAGTCAGAAATTATCTCATTTATAGATATATATTCAAATTATAGATTATCAATTATCTAAATTATAGACGATACCAGGAGATGGCCAGATGAGTTAGGTAGAGGAGATGGTCCAAGCAGACAAACAGGCGCCAATCAGAAGAGACAGTCAGCGGCATGATGGCCAGGACGAGTGGAGGAGGAAGTCAAAGGCGACGGTAACAGAACACGGCCAGGTAGGCCAGCCAGGGGAGCTGGTCGGATCCGACAACCACATGCGAACATCAGAAGAGACGGTCAGAGGTGGTCAGTTGAGCTGAGCGACGCCAAGCTCGGATGACAGGCTGGCGGAGCGAGGCGACGCAGAGCATGTTATGTGAACATCAGAAGGGACGGTCAGAGGTGGCCAGTTGAGCTGAGCGACGCCAAGCCCGGATGACGGTCCGGCCGAGCAAGGCAATGCAGAGCATGGTGCCGTGGTCACAGACCATCGCAGCATCGTCAGAAAGGCCTCAACGTGGGTAGCGAGGCGTAATCACAGATCCACAGAAATCAACACTGTGACGGATGGCTTTATGATTAAGGAAATGTCGCTTTGCTTGAGCAGTCAGTTTTCGTCGGTAACGACCTAAGCATATATGCGTGTCACACAAAATCCAAAAGAGTACGTCTGTCGCCGCTGAGTAATCAGTGTCAGAGAGGCATACTTTGTCGTGTCTCGGCAAATGTTCTCATAAATTCCTTCCAAACCTAAGAGGACAAAATTTGCCATCATATCTCATCAAAAGGCGCATCGTTGCGTTATACTTTACAAAAGACCACATTTCTGTCGAAAGTCAACCAGGTCAGAACGCCAAAGCAACGGTTTCACTATCTATTCTGGTAGTCGAACGTACTCATGACACCAATTTATCTGACAAACTAGCATCTGTCTGCACGGCCTGGTCGCCGCAATGGAGACTCGGCTCCGTTCGCGCCGGCCCCACGGACAGGCTGTCAGGCTGACAGCCCCGCGGACAGGCTGTCAGGCTGACAGCCCCGCGAACGGGCTGTCAGGCTGACGGCCCGCGGACAGGCTGTCAGGCTGACAGCCCCGCGGACAGGCTGTCAGGCTGACAGCCCCGCGAACGGGCTGTCAGGCTGACAGCCCCGCGGACAGGCTGTCAGGCTGACAGCCCCGCGGACAGGCTGTCGGCCTGACAGCCCCGGGGACAGGCTGTCAGGCTGACAGCCCCGCGGACAGGCTGTCAGGCTGACAGCCCCGCGGACAGGCTGTCGGCCTGACAGCCCCGGGGACAGGCTGTCAGGCTGACAACCGCGCTGACAGGCTGTTGCTGCAGCCAACGGAGCCATCCCAGCAGGCCTGGCCATCTCCCGCGGCCCCAGGTGGCGCTCCGTCTGACCTGATCTGGCGCATCTTATCGTGGCGTGCCTTCGGTCCGGGCGGCTGGCAGAAGGTGATGCTCACCTGATCTGGCGCATCTTGTCGCGGCGTGCCTTTGGTCCGGGCGGGTGGCAGAAGGTGATGCGCGCCAGCAGCTGAAGGTAGCCGACCACGCGCGCCAGCCGAGTGTTGGTGCTGTACAGCCGCTCGTGCTCCCACCTGGAAGGCACAGCACACCACCGGTGGGGAGAGCAGAGAGAGAGCGCGCGGGAGTGGCCTCTGACAGCGCGCAGGACCTCGTCCCTGGTGCCGGTACCCAAACGGACACCGCAGTCGGACAGGCGGACACCAGATAGACGAGAGAATGACAAATTCATCACGAATCGTCCCGCGGAAAAGCGGTCCAGGCAGCCGCGTATGATGTCCACCTCATAACAGGGCGTCCAGTCGAATATAAGCAGCCATGGGATGCGCTGTGTCAACATCCCTGGTGCTGATATATTTGCGTCCAACAGTAGGGAGAATTTGCAGAAGCAGGCACGCTGTCGGAAAGCGATGGCGTTGTTGCTTAAGAGAGTGGGTCATTCGCATGAACGAGCGGCGACGCAAGCAAACGCGCGTTGATGCGAGTGTCTGCCACAGCACCGCAATGTCTCACCTGTTCCCGAAGAGCTTGACGACGAACACGGACACGAGGAGCATGACTCCGACGGACACGCCGACCGACAGGCCCACGGTCACGTTGCAGAAGCCCACGCCAAACACGACGCCGAACAGCAGCGCCAGGTTGAAGAGGATAAAGAGGAGGAACGGCGACAGCGACAGCTCCGGCTCCAGCCACTGCTGGGCGAAGTTCCGCATCTCTTCTGCACGGACGGGTGGGGGTGGAGGCAGTCAGCGGCGGCCACTTTTCACACGCACGGGCTTACGGTGGGGGGCCACTCTCACGATGCTGACGGCCTAAGAAAAAAGGCCTCAGCGCCACTTTTTCGGAAATTGAGTTATTTCTGACGTTCTATGCAGCTCAAAAAACTGCATCTTGTATGATAGAATATGGAGTCAAAAATCCAGAAAATCTTGCGTTCCAAAATATTCCACATATTTTTCTTCTATCTCAGCAAATAAAGATGCTCAATTCGCCGAAACCTAAAAATGCCTCTCCTGAACGATATGTGAGTGCTCACCATGCCAGCAGCTTACAGGATATCGCGTCAATGTCCATAGCATTGTTGCAAGCACATAAGCAGAGTGTTGTGCAGAGTGCAGAGCTGAAATTTCCCGCAATCATCAACATTCCTGCTGGATTTCACCCACTTCCAAAACACCCCAAAAGACCACACGCCATCCGTTTGTGAGGGACCTCCCAGTTCAACAAACCGAACGGGCCCTGGGAGCCGGGCGGTGCAGCGGCGGCAGCACCGCGCCTGCGCGCCGACGCAGCACGCTCTGCCACTCCCAGTTCAACAAACCGCACGGGCTCTGGGAGCCGGGCGGTGCAGCGGCGGCAGCACCGCGCCTGCGCGCCGACGCAGCACGCTCTGCCACTGACCAGTCAGCTTGCCGAGCAGGAACGACTTGCCCGAGCCCCACTTGGCGTAGAGGCCCACCGAGATAGGCACCGTCAGCGCCGGCTCCGAGAGGAAGTCGGCCAGCGCGCCCGAGTACAGGTCGTAACCGAGCCGGTTCTCGTTCTCCTCGTTCGTGTTCAGCTTGCCTGTCGGCGGGCGGCGAGCGCGAGTGAGCGTCGCCGCCGGCGGCTGTTGGTGTGGAGCGCTTGTCACGGGGTTCCGTAATGGCTTCACTTGGACGTCACGAGTGTTTTGGGGTCATCGCTTTCACGGTGTCGTGTTTGTACCATATTTAATACGTGGAGAAGTGTCTGAGGTGATACCACGCTGTGGCGGTGGTGATCCCAAGCGACTTGATACACTGTAATAAGTGACAAGAAACATAACACAGTGCTATAGGGGAACAACTGGGCACTGCAAAGAAACGCAAAAGTCATCGCGAGTCAACAAGCCAATGGAAACCAGCCAAGCGACATATCGCGCGCAGACTCCCGGCCTTCCCATCGGAAATTCGGTGAGAGCGACTACTCCCGGTGGGCAGCGCCACACTTCGCCGACACGCGCTGCCGCACAGCTCACGGGCGCCAAAGATGTCGCCGAGGATGGCTCGCTTGTGACCGATGTCGATGTTGTAGGGCGTCTCGCCCGCCTTATTGGGCCGGTACAACAGCTTGCTGTGCTTCGGGTTGCGCAGCAGGATTTCCACGATGTGCTGGGGACGAGAGTCGCCGGTCGAATCCCGCTCGATATCGTACGTTTATGAGTGCCGCTCGCTATTCAGGTCCAGCGAGGTGGAATACCGGGGTCATCGACCCAGCTGTGACAGCAGCGAGCGCGAGATCAGACCCAGTGGTTTTACACGACCACCCAATGATGGAATGCGCTAGCATGGAGAGTTCTGAGGAGTGCGGGGAGTTGAATGAGAATGCGTGCGAAACGCGCATAAACATGACACAAGCGACCAGATTAACTTCAAGCCATGATGTCCGTCCGTGCAGTGAGAGATAGAAGAGGTCTGGCATCGTTCCAGCACGCACGCGCATGCTACCTCACTTCCAATGTCCCAGACTGCGCCAGTGGACCGACTACGGCGCCGTGCTGGTCCCTCAGCCGTCCGTCTACTCCGACCCACCAAATTCCCCGCCCGTGCCACTCCTCCCCCCCCCCCCCTCCGACCGCCGGCCAACTAACCCGCGACCGCGCGCGCATGGCGATGTGCAGGCAGGTGTCGCCCTTAACGTCGGCGGCCGTGATGCGCGCCTTGCGGTCCAGCAGCAGCTCCACAATCTCGGCCTGCCGGTTGCGGACGGCCCGCAGCAGCGCCGTGTCGCCCTCCTGCGGCGGGGCGCGACAGAGCCGGGTCAGCTCGGAGCGGCCGCTGCACGGCACAGGGCCAGGCCCAGCGCGGCGGCGTCCCGGCCACACACGACCGCCCACGCCGCGCTGTGTCACATGACACACGCGGTGTCGGGCCCGGTGTCGGGCTAGGTAGCCGGTGCATGTCAGCCGATGCGGACCAGCGCCAGCGCCAGTGTGCGCTGCACAGTCCCGCATGCACAGTCAGGCGGGGTGGCCACTGCATGACGGGGTCAGATCTGGCAGGTTGAAGTCCTAGGTCACGGAGATAATGCTGCGTCGGGTCATAGCAGAGTATCAGACTTGGTCCCGTACCTCGACGACACGGTGCAGATAATGAACTGGCAACCTTTATGCGACAGAGGAGAGGCAAGGCAAAAACTTGGCCGCGAAAAACATACGGAACAAGCGTTTAGATAACAGCCAGATGACGCATCGTGGTTGAGCCAAGATGCCGAGATATTGACGGAGAGCCAGCGGGCTTGTCTGCCACCGTCAGAACATCTCCACCATCAACATAACCGTCAGACCCGCTCCACGGTGGACTAAAAACAGAAGACACCAGTGATCAGAGCTACCTAACCAACTCGCAGACGTGAACATTACCTTGGTGGATGTCTCTGTGTCGGCGTGCACCTCTAGCAGCATCTTGACCACCTCGAAGTGGTTCTTCTCGACGGCCCAGTAGAGCGCCGTCTTGTGGTCCTGCTGGGCGGTCGGACAGAGGTGACAGTCGCCACCGCAGGACGCCCGTCCCGACACCCACAGGCCGGGCCAGCCCCCGAGCCGGCCCACCGCAATCGGTATACGACACCTGCACTGACACACTAAGGCGCGTGGAAACACAAGCAGAAGCGAACATCGACATCAAACGCAAACACGGTATGCGTCCCGACGCTTAGCCATGACGACGTTCTTTAGCCGCTGTAAGGAGATATAGGTTCCACCGTTACTCCGGTCCACTTGCGAGCAATTACACCGCGAGACAGAGATCGGGAAAGATGAACGCTCTGTGGCAGCTCGGTTCGGTGACCTTTCACTCTCCCCAGGTGAGCGTTCCGGCGAGGTTATGGCACGGCCGACTACGCCACTGTCCTGCCTCCTGGTGCGGCCGCCGCTCCGCCGCTCGCCACCTCCAGCACGGCGCCTGCCTCACTGCTCCGCGTGGGAGCCGAGGCCCCGGGACCGAGCTACCACCACCGCAGGCACAGGGTGGCCGCGGGGGCCGCCGACACCTGAGCGGACACGGGGACGCCCCGCCCGGCCCGGGGTTCACGCCGCCGCCCTGCGCCAGAGCCGAGCGCTGGGAGATCAGGGTCGGAGGGAGAGGGCAGCACGCGGCGCGCGCCGAGACTTCACCTTGCCCGTGATGTTGATGTCGGCGTACTTCTTGAGCAGCAGCTCGGCGATCTCCGTGTGGCCGGCGCGGCAGGCGCAGATCAGACAGGTGTCGCCGCTCCGGTCCTGCGGCCGACTGGCGCTCAACGACCGGCTCTTCACAACACACTCGGGAGTCTCTAACAGGGCCGGCCTGACATCTGACGCTGTTTTGAACGGCGCGACTCCGCGCTCGCTAACTTAACAAGGCGCGGATGAGCCTCTGCCACGGCTCGACATGGCAGCTAGCAACGTCTGTCAACTACATGGGTGACAAGTATCGACTCTCCTCCGATCTGGCACGTGCCATCTTTACCACAAACCCGCGGCGATAAACTGTCCGGGGCGCAAACAATGTCGGCACTCGTCTGCTCTGCACAAAACACCAAGAGCCAGCGGACTCCTCAGCCGTCACGCACTGCGGTCGCCACAGGCTCCTTCCCACCGTGTCATGCGTGCCACGGTGCAGCGACGCATCCCCGCCCCCATCGGCAGCCGAGCGCAGCAGCAGCAGCACATCCCTGCCGGCGACGTGGGGCGGGCGGTGCCGCCCGTTCGCACTCTGATCTGGCGTGTGTGCGGGCATAGACTCGGTCGACGCTGGGACGAGCTGTGCCGCCTGCCAGCACTCCGACCTGGCGTGTGTGCGGGCACAGACCTGACCTCGCGTGCACGTCCCCGCCCCGATGTGGGGCTGGGGCACCGCCCGCTCGTACATGTGAGCGCGGACTCGACCGGCGCCGGACCGCGTCGGCTCGGCGGCCGACATACCTGAAGGTTAATGTAGGCTCCGGCGTTGACCAGCGCGGCGGCGATGTCCAGGAAGCCCTCCTTGGCGGCCAGGATCAGCGGCGTCACGCCGTCCTTGTCCGTCACGTTCAGGTTAGGCTTGTGCGCCACCAGCATCTCCACAATGTCGGAGTGGCCGCCCTTTACCGCTAGCAGCATTGGCGTCCAGGAATACTGCCGGCCGGATAGCGTGTCAGAGGTACGGTTAGCGGCCGGCTTACGTCAGCGGTGCCGCCGGTGGAGGGCGCCAACAGCTCTGGACACACGGCGGAAGCCATTTCAGGCGTGCCGAAGGCGGGTAAAGCCCGTAAAGATTGGGCATGGGGAGATTTAAGGCAGCGATGCATGCAGTATAACCATGTTTGACGGATACACACCGGAAGATCCAGATCAATGACACGGCCCACGGATCATGTTCACGAGCACTATCAAGCCACCCATCGGTACGCACGGTGTGGTCGTGACTGAAGCGCACACCATTTCAGAACTACAGCGTGAGCCACGTATCTACGGTGAGGACAGCGGGAATTATCTGCGACGGCAATAATTCTGGACGAAGGCCCTGATTATCGTTCCCCCGAAACGGAATGCTATGCCACGCTCCCGAGGTTCGTATGGCGCACGAGCTTTCTCTCACCATTCCCGAGGCGTCCACGTGGGCACCTGCATTCAGGAGTTCGGCCACGATGTTGGAGTAGCCTTTGCGACAAGCCCAGATGAGTGGCGACGTGCCGAACTGCGCACGGGACAGACGAGCGTCATCAGACGGGCGACGCCTCAGTTGGACCGCGATGGATGCGTGACAGATCTGGATGTAGGCCCACTCTCACATACCGCCAGCTCACATTACGCCGCGGGTGGGACCGTTCGTCGGCGCAAGCATATACAGCGTGCTAGAAAGCCGCTGCTGCGTAGATGCGACGTCTGGAACCGGTTACAGTCCAGTCACCTGCGGGTGTCAGCAGCCGTCCCCAGTCCAGTCACCTATGTGTGTCAGCAGCCGTCCCCACTCCGTTTGGGCGCAGATGCACGGGGCACCGCGGAACTGACAACGTCTGGCAAAGCGTTGCCATCAATCCGGGCCACTCGGAAGGGATCTGCTCTCGGCCTAGGTCGGAGGCGTATTTGAATTGCATAGTGCGATGTCCCAGTATGCAGCGCGGCTTGGACCATGCATCCCTTTCTGTCCAAATTAGCATACAACTAAGCAGCCTTGGCGTCACCAGCCCGATAGACCGAGCGGCACACACCGCAGTGAGACCGGCGGTGCTCTCTGAGGCATCGGTGTTGCTGAGCGAGCCGGACTTCATTGCGCCAGGCGCTCACAATGCTCATTTCCGGCACAGCTTGCATTGTCTCACAACACGAGTCGACAACAGCTTAATTTGCACACAATTCAACTGGCGCAACGCAAGTCACCAGCGAGCCAAAGCGTGATTGGCGCTGCCGGTCACGTGGCTCATCACAGGGTCACGGCCTCTTGGCGCGTGTAACGCCGTGACGCTGAGCACGCGCACGCGACCCTGCCGGACAGCGCGCTGACCGGGCCGGCAGACTGCACCATTGAATGTGTATCAGCTGATCGGCCGGCCGGCGCCGCCGGACTTGTGGCGAGGCGGCCGCACTGACCTTGTCGTTGATGTTGACCTTGGCGTGGTGCTGCAGCAGCAGCTGCACCACGTCCAGGTAGCCGCGACCGGCAGCCCACACCAGTGCCGTCATGTGGTGCTGGCCGGGCACGTTCATGTTGGCACCCGCCTCCACGAGCGTGCGCACCACCTCGGTGCGGTGCTGGTAGGCGGCCCAGAGCAGCGGGGTCCAGCCGCCCTGCCGGCACCGAGACGGCGGGTCAGGCAGCGGCCCGGCTCGGCGGCGGGCCAGGCAGCAGCCCGGCCCGGCGGCTGTGGGCCGTTGCGCTCGGCCGGCCGTCCAGCCGATGGCGCGCTGTCGTGTAGGTTCGTCGGGGAGACGAACGAGCTGGGCACTGGCGGCTCGCAACAGCGACCTCACCTGAGCCCAGCTCGCGCCGGCTGGTCACGGGATGTTTCGGAACTGACAGAGGCTGGTGCTGGTCACGGAATGCTACGAAACTTACAGCAGCTGGTCATGGGGTGCTACGGAACTGACAGCGGCTTGTCACGGAGTGTTACGGAACTGACTGCGGCTTTTCACGAGGCGCTACGGAACTGACAGCGGCTTGTCACTGGGTGTTACGGCACTGACGGCGGCTGTTCACGGGGTGCTACGAAACTCACTGGGGCTGATCATGGGGTGCTACGAAACTAACAGCGGCTGGTCACGGTGACAGCGGCTGGTCACGGGGTGCTACGAAGCTAACAGCGGCTGGTCACAGGTTGCTACGGAACTGACAGAGGCTGGTCATGGGGTGCTACGGAACTGACTGCGGCTTTTCACGAGGTGCTACGGAAATAACAGCGGGATGTCACCAGGTGTTACGGCACTGACAGCGGCTGGTCACCGGGTGCTACGGAACTGACAGCGGTTTGTCACGGGGTGCTACGCAACTGGCAGCGGTTTGTCACGGGGTACTACGGAACTAATAGCGGCTTGTCACGGGGTGCTACGGGGCTGATAGCGGTTTGTCACGGGGTGCTACGGAACTGATAGCGGCTGGTCACGTTCTTGACGCTCTGCCGTTGGTCAACTCAACGCTACACCAACTTGCTTCTCGAAAGCCTTCATCACAGTGAATAAACCATTCTACAGAAGCACCAGGGCAGCGCCAAGACACCAAAAATGTGCCAAATTACAATAAGTGCCAAGGGAAGGCAGATCGGCTCGCGAACGTGCGCGGCAATTACGCCGGGTGCGAATCGCAAGCCCAGACACTGACCATGTCTTTGGCTTCCGTGTTCGCGCCGGCCTCCAGTAGTTCTCGTACACACTCCACGTGGCCCTCTTTAGCAGCATTGTGTAATGCTGTCCAGTTGTCCTGAAAGAAGGCGTCCGCACTGAGTTGCTGCGCCGGCGTTGAAAGCCACATTGCGCTAGGTTACCCAGCCGTCTGTACTTACGTGGCTGTTGAAGTCACCCTGTTGACTGGCTGGTATACGTCATCGTAGTGAAACTAAGGGTACGATGGGGTACTGACATGTGTACAATCGCACCCACCCAGTCGGAAGTCTCACGTATTGTCACATACGGCCATTAAACATGGCTTCGGCCACTGGTACAAAGCGGCGGACGAAGGGAACAGCGACGGAATAAAGTGAGCTAACGAGTTGCTTCGTGCAAAACACGCCGGCTGACGGCTAGCCGACATAATGGGACTCGGATCGACTGCTGTCCATGGGGCTCTGATGTGATGACGTTCTCATGAAGAGGAGTCCAATGCAGAGATCCCCACGAGGTGGCAAAATCGGGTTAGCATGGGGTTAGACCGTGTGTATCCGTTCGTCCTGTTACGACTTCTGGTGGCTCTCTAAGACACTGCACGAGTAGATACATCCACGCGCACCCAGCTAATATAGAAATGATACAAGACGTATTGTCGTGGATATATGATCCCGGCTCGGGCCCACACCAGGCCAACGCCTATCACCACCGGGAGACCAGGCCAGACAGCTTCTCAGCGCCTGGCGCAGCCCGCCGCAGTCTTCTCCGAAATGCTGCTGCCTGGCTATTTATTAGACAGCCAGGTGCGTCCGCTGATAGGCGAGGCGGCTGTAACCCCCGTGCAACGGCACGAGTTGGTCGATCTCATACGCCTGTAGTGCATAATGATGAGGCTCTCCTCGATCGGTGCAAGATTGGGAACGGCCAATAACGCATTAGCTGGTGTAGACGAACGTGCACTTGGTAGTAAACAACGAGAGTGCACAGATAAGACTGGAGTGTACATGGCATGCCGACCCAGATGCCAGTCAATCCATGATGTGGCAACGGCGACGGCGACGGCGACTGCGACTGCGACTGCGACTGCGACTGCGACTGCGACGGTGACAGCGACGGCGACGGCGACTGCGACGGTGACTGCGGCGGTGACAGGGACAGCGACGGTGACATTGACGGTGACTGCGACGGTGACAGCCACGACGAAAGTGACGTTGACGGCGACTGCGACGGTGCCAGCCACGGCAACGGCGGCAGCGACTGCGACGGTGACAGCCACGGCAACGGCGACAGCGACTGCGACGGTGACAGCCACGGCGACTGCGACGGTGACCGCGACGGTGACGGCCACGGACTGGCCACACCGCCGTCGCCGCAGTCGCTGCCGCTCTGTTGCCGTCGCCGCCGCATGATACAACAGAAATTAGGGGTAAGTCAAATTTCCTCGGGACGCTTATATTCGCAACGGGCTTTTGCGCCCACCCAAAATCGTACTTTTACTCCAAACAGTCATTCGCAAGAACGAATATGCAAAACCCATTATGAATGCAGATTTAATCAGGAAAATGAACAGCGATAAAAATACGCTGAATAGCAAAATCACACTTGGCAAGGAGGTGGGCAGAAATTATTGACTGATCCACGAGTTTTGACCGGGGACACCCTCCCCTAAGCGGATGGGGTCCTCACGAACTGTGAAGCTCATTATGAAATTTGGTCAATAATTTTTAATGAAATCGTTGAAGATAATGTATACACAAGTGTCTAATGAATTCGCACAAAAGCGATCATCATAACACATATTGCAAGCTCAGCCTAACGTGAGTGACGTGTCGTGTTGGCTCCCATGGGGGCGGGGGAGGGGGGGGGGGGGGGTCCCAGCTTAGGACTCCGGGAGTCATCTATTCTTCAGGACATTCTCCTTCAGGGCATTCATAACTCCGTCAAATAGTGTTCATGGCGACGGCGAACAATCGTGGCGTGATATAGGAGACATCAATGCCCGCTAAAAAAGCAGTGTCCATCAAGAAAAGTAGAATTTTTTATACACGAATCACCACATACACTACTGAGATAGGGATGGAGTTCCCGGTAACCGAGGTACACAACCTTACTGACCCAATTAACGTTTGTTTAGCTTGATAGCAGTGGCATACCTAGCCCCGCTCTCACTGTCGTAAAAAAGGTAAATAGTCCTGAACAACCGGCTCATTCTCAACTCTCGACCGTTGTCACAAATAGCTCCTAGTACCTAGCAATCACAATGGCTGACAGCGATAACCCCCGCACACCAGCACAACACCAGCGTCCGCCAATGATAACCCTGCACACCAGCACAATCCCAGCGTCTACCACCGGTAGCCTCCGCACACCAGCACAATCCCAGCGTCTGCCAATGATAACCCCGCACACAGCACAATCCCAGCGTCTACCACCGGTAACCTCCACACACCAGCACAATCAAAACGTCTGCCAATGATAACCCCGCACACCAGCACAATCCCAGTGTCTACCACCGGTAGCCTTCGCACACCAGCACAATCCCAGCGTCTGCCAATGATAACTCCGCACACCAGCACAATCCCGGCGTCTACCACCGGTAACCCCCGCACACCAGCACAATCCCAGCGTCCACCACCGGTAGCCTCCGCACACCAGCACAATCCCAGCGTCTGCCACCGGTAACCCCGCACACCAGCGCAATCCCAGCGTCTGCCACCGGTAACCTCCGCACGCCAGCACAATCAAAACGTCTGCCATCGGTAACCCCTGCACACTAGCACCAGCACGGCGTCTGCCACCGATGACCCCCTCACACCAGCACAATCCCAGTGTCTGCCACCGGTAAACCCCGCACATCAGCACAATCTCAGCATCTGCCGCCGGTAACCTCCGCACACCAGCACAATCCCAGCGTCTGCCGCCGGTAACGTCCGCACACCAGCGCAATCCCAGCGTCTGCCACCGATAAGCCCCGCACACCAGCACAATCCCAGCGCCTGCCGCCGGTAACCCCCGCACACCAGCACCATCACGACGTCTACCGCCGAGAGATCATCCGGCACGGTGCACTGACCAGGTCGGCGACGTTGACGTCAGCGCCGAACTCAACCAGGGCGTGGATGAAGGCCGGGTGGCCCTTCTCCGCCGCCACCATCATGGCTGTCGTGCCATTCTGCCGGAGGCCAGGTCCAGGTGACATGATTCTAGCTAGAAAACACGCAATGACAACTTCGTAGGGATATCTTAAACTTGATTTTAGCTTGTGACAATGGCGAATATTATTCTTACTCATTACGCTTGTGAAAGGCTGTTTTTCGGCTAGTCGAGCTTTGATGGGCCAGAATTCTCGGGCCGCTTTGTAGCTTGGCGATATTCTTCGCCAGATATTGCGGAGTTTTCGCACTTTCTGGCGAAAATATCGACAAGCTGCAAAGCGGCCTGAGAGTCCTGACCCATCAAAGCTGGGGTAGCTGAAAATTAACCAAGGATAGCAAACATCAACAACCCATCAACCCATCAACTGGGGTAGCAAACATCACTGTATCCAGATATAAAAACGCAAACATCACGTAGTGTGCTTGTAGCCAAAAAAAGACGCAATGCAACCAATCACGTTCAGAAATTATGCACCTCACAAGCTCGAATATGCTTTAAACCAAACGTTTGTTTCCATGAACATAAAATACCCAGATAGCATAAAACTTCTTGAAACCGAACACACAAATCAAGAACTGTCCTGGACTTCCAATATTGTGATAATTACGCAACTCCTCCTACAGAAAATGTTCATTTCCATAAAGCCCGATAAATTTACTGAACGCTTCAAAGCCAATGTTCCCTGATACCTCTAGAAAACCCTGGGAGGCCGCGGAGAGCGGAAGGGTGGACGACAAGTGGAGAGGGAGGGGGAGCGGTTGGGGGGGGGGGGGTGTCAAGACCCGGCGCGCCACGTGACGAGATGTGACGCGCCGACTCGCCCGGAATGAGTACAAGGCAAGCGGCCGCCGGAGGACGGCTCACTCCGCCGGGCCGGCCCCGCGCGGGGACACCGGGGCCAGGGAGGGGGAGGGGGAAGGGAGGAAGGACGCCTCCTAGCAGGGGGCCAAAGAAGTCGTCGACTCGTTCACTCGAGAACAGTACAGAACAACAGCACAAGTCAGCTCAAAGTCTGTGATGGTCTCCGTTCTACTCGGTCTACCTTGGGGTCCTGAAACGTTGCTCTTGGCATACTGTCCTCATGAGCTGAGTGACCACCTCGATACAGACAACAGGTGGTCAGCATAACGTGATGTAATGGCGTGGTAGGCAAGCTCGCGGCCATCCGGGTTCATGCCCATTGAATCATGCATCAGGCACCTCTCGATGCCATCAGCACTGTTTCGACAAACATTCGCCAAAGTGTGACTCAAATTGGCACGACCACTCGTACATAACAATAGCACCTGAGTAAACAGCACAAGTTTTGAATTTTTTGTGATAGCTTTTTCCTGTCAAACTGGTGAGTTCCGTGATCGGTCCACCGAGTGCTGATCTCTGTGCGCGTGCTGTCGGGCTCCCTGCGATGACACGGCAGCTACGTGATACACACGCCACGCATCACTGTTTCGGTACACTCACGACCCTTTCCCCAAGAACAAAATAAAAACAATCAGGCCGCTGCCGGGCGCTGCGCCGGATCCCTGGGGCGGGATCAGTGCGCGGTAGCTATCGATCACGTGCACCGACATATGCAAAGAACTTGTAACGCTGACGTCACGTGAGGCTGCAGTGGTGAGCGCCCGGGCGCGTGGCGCACGACCTGACGGTCTGTGCGACCACCTTAGCTCCGCATGAGTTTTGCCATGCATCGATGGGCTGAGGCAGTTTGCCGCTACCGCGCAGTTGGTCCTCAGTGCATGGCCCACTTTAACATCAGTCTTTAACTTGAGGCCGTGATAATGGAGTTAATCGGCGTCTTCCGGGGTTTACGACGCGCTCAGCCGCTGAGGCATCGCCTGCCTTTTACCCTGGGAGGAAGCGTAGGCAGCGTGGGCAATGGAACCCCGTCCCTGTGGTTTCTCGACAACGGAGTTCATCGCACCAATGCCGAGTTAAACAGGATCCATGTCATTAACGAATGGGCGCGGTTAATAGACGTTAAGGACAGAGTTTAGTGAGGTTCACTGCTGGAAGTACGCATGCAAAAAAGCCGTATGCATGTCCGTGGGTCTGCAAAGCTGTCTGTGGTTCTAGTTCCGCCACTGGAGGAGGTGTGGTCTCAGAGATAAGGTAGCTCCACCCATGACCGGTGGCGCAGCGCCTCCGCCTTCGCCGCCTCCTGGAAAGGCAGGCTGATGGCCTCGCTTCTCAAGCTCTATGGCCGGCGTCACACAATGACATGTAATAAATTCCTGGTGACGCAGGAGTGTTCGTACAACACTGGAAGCTTCAGCACCAATGATTCATTAACTAAATACAGGTTCGACGTAGGAAAGGCAAACATAGGATCCGTTTTCTGAATTTAGTCATGTTTACCGGGAAACAGGACCACTCACCTCATCCGAAAACTCCAATTTAGAAGAACACAATAGTTCGGTACTGAGAACGCCACAAGAGCACAATAGTTCGGTACTGAGAACACGACAAGAGCACAATAGTTCGGTACTGAGAACACAACGGCAATGTAGAGTTGCTCTCGCCATCCCAGCAGTCGCTCCCGGGGTAGAACCCATCGGTGACGGAGAACCGACAGAGCTGGGAGCCCAATGGGTCATCCCTCTGTGTTTACACAACGTCGTGAAGGACAAACAGACGCAAGCTAGTCTGGGTCCCAGTGGTACATAGCCACGAACAGGGCGACGAATGCCCCGCAATGCATAACAACGAAGGGCTTCTGCACTATCTTTCACGACCAAACTGCACTACGCTGCACGACCTATAGCAGTCGATGCGCCCCAGAAAAAACCCAAAACTGCGCTGCATTACCAAATGCACCAAATTGCATTTGATGACACAGAACTAATCATAGCACTGCAGACAGTACGATGTGGGACACCTAAACTAAAAAGCAGTGGAGAATTTCACCAATGCCAGCGGGCAGCTGACCTTCGTTCGTCTCGGTGGTTGGCAGGGCGAGTGGGACTACAGGTTGAACGTCCTCGGTCGGACATGGCCTTCAGTACCACTGACACACTGACAATGGCTATGGCAGCAGAACAAGGTGAGCCAGTAACGAGCTCAGCGCTTGTTTCAGCTCTGGCTATGCCCCGGCCCTAGTTTCAAGCCTGGTTACGTAACCGGCCCAACTCTCAATCCTGGTTACATACCCGGCCCCAGTCTCAGCCCTGTTAACGAAACCGGCCCCAGTCTCAATCCTGCTAACGTAACCGGTCCCACTCTCAATCCTGGTTACGTACGCGGCCCCAGTCTCAACCCTGGTTGCGTGCTCGGCCCCAATGTCAGCAGGACGATGCTGGTGCTGACGGAGACGCTGCCTCGTCCCCGCACGGTCAGCTGTCTGGGAGCGTTTCGAACGCGCGGTACAACAGTTAACGCAGCGGTGAGCGTTGCTAAAAAGAAGTGCGGGACGGACAGGCACGTTTTGTTCGACAAGATCAGTTCGTTCGGTTCTTCACAGCGTTTGTGGTTGTCGCATTACCTGTTTCAACACTCCGGTCCAGGTGGGCCACAATGAGCTCGTGCTCGTGTCGACCCGTAAGTCGAAAAACGACCAGGTGGGCCACAACGAGCTCATGCCCGTGTCGGCCCGTAAGTCGAAAAACGACCAGGTGGGCCACAACGAGCTCACGCTCGTGTCGGCCCGTAAGTCGAGAAACGACTCATGGCGCCACTTCAAGCTAAGCAATTTTCGTCTGTTCCAGTTGCGGTGCACCATTTGTGTAATTACTGGTAGGCACAATTACAGCCACAATAAAGCATCCTCGCGCTTCAGTGCGCCTCATTTCTCAGAGGCAAATCCTAGAACCTAGGCTGTAGCGCCTCGCATCGTCGCTGTGCGAGGCAGTCCTGCTCCAGGCGCATGCCCTGGTCAGCAGACAGGACAGACGGGGTGGAGCGACTGGTGGCCGACCCATTCGTTCGACGGTGTGGAAGTGGAGCTTGACCGGAATCGAAGTGAGTGGAGGGGCTGCTGTGTGACTGGTTCTGCTCGCGTACCAGGCGAGTGGGTGGCAGGCATGCATCGCCATTTGGCCTTCAGTTCGACAATATATATACGACATAAAAACAAAGAACTTGGCGACGGCATTTAATTTTTAAAGAAATATATTTGGTCCTAGCCTTTTCGATTGGAAAAAATTATGGTGTCAGCGCCCACGCTCAGTGGTGCTTGTTGTCTCTTGTTACCCTGGCACCACCGTCCGTGCTTGTTGTCTTTGTTACCCCGGCACCACCATCTGTGCTTGTTGTCTCTTGTTACCATGGCACCACCATCTGTGCTTGTTGTCTCTTGTTACCCTGACACCATCATCCGTGCTTGTTGTCTCTTGTTACCCTGGCACCACCAGTGCTTGTTGTCTCTTGTTACCCTGACACCATCATCCGTGCTTGTTGTCTCTTGTTACCCTGGCACCACCAGTGCTTGTTGTCTCTTGTTACCCTGGCACCACCAGTGCTTATTGTCTCTTGTTACCCTGGCACCACCATCCGTTCGCAAAATTCCAGGTCACCGGTAGAACTTTATGGCGTAAGCTTGACGTGCACAATGCTTGGTGCCCCTACCGTGGGGAGAGGACCCCTGACGTCCCCTGACCTTCACTGAACCCGCTCCTACCGACAGCAGTCGATTGCAGCCCGGACCAACTGAGCGATATAACAAAACGACATCTTAAAAATATCAACAAAACAAAACAAACTAGAATATTAGCACCCTTTATGTTGATAATGGCGCCTGACTTTCATAAAGGAAGCACAATTAGGCCGACGCGCAAATATTTTTGAATATATTGGACCAAGTTTAGCGCTGCGCGTTGCCTCAGTTAGGGAGAGTGGGCCTAAATTAAGGTATAGAAAAACATCACTGACGTACTCAGGAGTCCAGATACGAATCTAGATACGAGATACAAGCGATATCGCCCGCCGAATGCACAAGTGTGCGGCCGCCTTTACAGCTAAAAGGTCCCATTTTTACCAACGCTTGCACATATTGTCATGCAACTTGCACGCAATTTATGGTTTTAGCAAGGAATTGCAAGCAGTCAGTTCTTAACTACAAAAAACGTTGTACGTTAACATGTAAATACGTGGAGATGAAACCATGTCAACGTCTATTTGACCTGTGTTAGCAAGTAGCCTTATGCTCAGGGTTCACACAAATAACGAAGGGCAATTTTTTCATTATTCATCACGTTCCATGAACCCAGAAAATGGGGAAACTTGCTTACACAAGGTATATGCTGCTCATATCTGCGCTCTACCTTAGCATTTTATTCAGCATCTTTAGTGTCCCGCTCTTCGAATTCGTACTAATTCGAACTTCAAGTTCTTTAACTTTCCATTAAGAAAATGAAACAGGCGGACACCACACCAAGTCAAAAGGCGTCCCCACAGCCCAGTTACCATTCCGGTTTATGGGCGGGTTCCCGTTTCGCATGCTCGCGACACCACGTTTCATTCCCAAGCTTTTTAAAGTAGCACTTCAGACCAGCCACCAGCCAAACACGGCCCCAGCGCGGCGAGCGGCAGCCGCCGCCTGACCGGTCGTCGACGGCCGTCTCGGGCCGGTGACCGCAGTCCAGGACATGCAGTCGCGGTGCAGTCGCGGTGCAGTCCCAGTTCGGCGTCCGGCACTCACCTCGTCGCGGTCATCGAGGGCCACGTTTCTGTTGTTGAGGAAGGAGGTGAAGGCCGGCAGATCCTCCCGGTTGATCAGCGTCGTCAGCGAGCTGAAGCTCAGCGACACCATGGTCCTGCGCCTGCGGGCGGTGGTGCGCTCGTCAGCCGCCGCATCACAGGTTCCAGCCGTCCCGGCACACAGCGGCGTGTGGACCCGCACCGACACTGTAGCCGAGGTCTGGGCCTTGGGGACACGGCTGGCCGGGTGTGACGGCAGGACGCACTGACACTGTAGCCGAGGTCTGGGCCTTAGGGACACGGCTGGCGGGGCGTGACGGCAGGACCGCACCGACACGGTAGCCGAGGTCTGAGCCTTGGGGACACGGCTGGCTGGGTGTGACGGCAGGACCACACCGACACTGTAGCCGAGGTCTGGGCCTTGGGGACACGGCTGGCTGGGTGTGACGGCAGGACCACACCGACACTGTAGCCGAGGTCTGGGCTTTGGGGACACGGCTGGCTGGGTGTGACGGCACGGGGCGATTGAACATTGCGATTAAGATGCGCAGGGTTGACGGTGGCCTGTGGTTTAATGAATTTCATGTGCACTGCGTCGTTCCTGGTTAAACACATGGTGATGAACAGATTTGTGGAAAAGCGGGCGCGATGGAAACTCGGCGCCACTGAGTAGAGCAGAAGTTGCGATTCGGCTTATAGGCATCAGAACCAAACATC